TATGATATGATAACAATAACTATAATTCATAGGATTTGTTCAAAAAAATTAAGTTTGTTCACCTGAGTTTTAAATTTTTCGTTTTAGATTTTCATTAATAATACCTAAGTATTACCATTAAAAACGTTTATGTAAGCATGATATAGTGTTCTTAAATAAAAAATTACGTCAAAATCAAAAAATTTAAATGCTTTTTCCAGAGTACATGAGTTTAAAAAGTATTCAGAATAAAAATCATATAAGTGTTTATAGAATATGCATTATATTAATAAATTCCGCATTTAAATCGTTAAATAATATACAATAATATACTTATACAGGTGTCTAATAATATAGATAGTATGAAATAAATTAAAATTTGTTATTTCCTATTTGATTTTCACAAATAATCGAAATGATTAAAGAATGTATTTTTATATCAAATTAAATGTAAAGTTAAAGTACATTCTTTATGAACTTGAAGTATTTTTGAGATAAATCCCTGAAGTATATTGTATCCAGTCAGAGACATACAGAATACATATTGTGCGATGAATTAAAACTGAAACACAAAAGTCTGTTTTTTCCATTTTGTAATAGCATACTATACAAACATCGAAGAAAGTAAACTGTATTCCCTGTATGATTAAAACGACTAAATATCACATACAGATCAACTAGTATTATATGGCATAAAAAATGATGGCTAAAATACTGGGTCATTATGAACTATATTATTATTACATTCTATAGTGTTTAATTAAATTATTAAAATTGCTGTTTCGACGTGTTTAAACGCTTGTAATCCAATCATTCAACTGAACCCGTTGCGTAATGCGCACGGTCAAGACTCAAGACAGTATATCAAAAATTAGACACCCGGTGATTTAAGTGCGCAGCACGAGAAGTATTTCATGTGACTGAAGGTCCTTGCCAGATATCATTCATCTTTTGCAATAACTTGTTTTATTTTTATCGACATTGATAACTGCCACGGTTGGAAATTCATAATACGTAGATGAACCCAATCGTCGAATAATAATTTTAAATACCTTAAACGTACGTGTATAGTGTGTTTTTTCAACTAGAAAAAATAATAGGTATTAATCGCACACAATTTGTACAACAGCGTTAGACATCTAGATGAGTAGGTTACGCGTGCAATAATATTATTATTACATCGGGCTAACAGCTTAATAATCTATTTATTTATTCAGATGCCATTTTTAACACTTACACCTATAGATACATGATGTTATTTATCGACTTTGATAAAACGGTTGTAACTTTATAGAGTATAATAAGTATAATACAATCTGATTCAATTAATGATCGCAAAAACGTACATATGTAGAAGTAATTATATAGACTAAGGAATTTCAACGGTCGATATTATTATAATATGAATTAAAGGTGATTCATTTATAAAAAATGATTTAACGTAATGCTAATCATTGCTTCGTATACTGCATCACGGGTATTTTTAGAATATTTTTATCTAGTAAAACCTACTCAAAACGCGATTAAATATAAATGAATTATTGAACGTCTTTCATCTAAATATATTTTACAATTGATTTCAAATACTAAAAGAATATGATCAATGAAAATTATATGAAAAAATAATACACTAACATTCTAAAGTATGTATAATATATTATTTAATATTAATACTACACCTACTCAACAAAGCTTAAGATTTTAACGCTCGTAAAGAATGTTAACAATAATTATTTTATTTGTAATATTTTTTTGTTCTAAAGTTTAACCTTCTTAAGATCCTTGAAAAACCCATAATATCCTATAGATATTTCAATAAAAATGTAAATCGAGTACAGATATTTTTCTTATGTGAAGTGAACAAATGAAAATTTTAATGGTGAAAAGAATAAAAATGTAGCGAGAAAAAATATTATGAAATAACACAGGTTGTTAATAGTTTACTACTTTATTTTTTATAAAGAAGAAGGATTATTATAACAATAGATTTTCAAAAACTAATTTTGTTTCTTCAATGAATTTTTCTCATAATAAAATCTTAAAAATGAATCGTTATTTTAAAACTATACTGTAGGTTTTATCTGTTTTAAAAGTTTAAAATATATTAACAATATTATTTATTTAATTTTTTTTGTATTTTTCCAAATAATTATGCACAATTAATCATAAGAATGAACATTTGAATTTGATAGAATATTCATTTAAAAATAAGAACAAATGAATTAGTGCAATAATGTGTTATTAAATATATTATAAAACTACTAATACAATTTTAAGGAATCGAGATTTTCAACTGATTAAAAATGTGAACTTTTACAACTATTACTAATGTAATTCTGACTACAAACTCTTTTAAAAAATGCATTGTTATGTCTTATAACTACAAGTTACGTATTAGGTATAAAATATTTATATTGTTTTATTTTTTATTTGAAAAATGTGTTAAATATTTAAAAGTTTTAACATCAGCTTAATTTAAAATCGACAAATTTTCAAAATTTTAACATATTATTTTTGTTATGTAATAATATAATCAATAACAAGTAAATAATACCTATTATTATTATTATTATAATAATTTTAAAAAGTCATAGGAATTATTTTTATTTAATCAATTGAACCGAAATAAATCCAGTTGTACATAATATAATACATATTTTGTCACGATACATTTTATTAAATATTTTATTAGTCACTAATACGCTGTAAATATTATATAATTTAGTCACTGGATAACATTGATAGATTAATAGTATTTACCTTGGGATAAATCAAATTTGTAGCTCTGAGTGAGGAAAAAAATATGAATCACTTTTATTTAATACTTATCAATTAATAAGTATAAGAAATACGCTGTTAAGTGAAAAATAAAACATAAAAATATTCCAGTATTACAATTAAGTAATTTTATTTAACCTATATTTTGAGTTAGACGACGACTAAGATCCAAGGCGACTTCACAGAAAAATAAACTTAACAAGTATTCCTTTAAAATGTATTATTAATCTTGTCTGCTAGTAATTTCGTGAGAAAGAAACATAATTCTATATTTGAAAGATTAAACCCTCATACATACCGAACTATTTAATTACGCCACAAAAAAATTCATAAAATTAATTTCATGCCTTCTTAAAATATTATATACAGTGTCCAATAATATTGTGTAATAATAGAGTTTTTGTAATCAATTGAAATATATAAAAATATAATTTTTAATAATTTACAACTATGAAATAATATTTTGGAAAATTATAACGATACAATATGTAAATATATTTTTGATAGAATTATTACTATAATTACTCAAAAGAATGACTAACGTGATGTTTTTCTATTTTTATTCGTTCACGATATTTATATATTTTTAATTGTATAGCTAAAATGTTATTAAACTGAATACGAACTATACAAATAGGCAAAAAATTTTAAATTACATCTATAAAAGAAAATTATAGTAATCATTTAGAATTTGAACTTTATAAATGGTTTAGGGAAGATGTACACGATGTATAAACTGTTGTTGATAATCCTGTTCAAAAACGAAATTTACTAAACAAATCACGATCTATAGCTTTTATACCATGGTGTGTTTAAATTAATATGAATATAAATTACGAATACTTTAAACAGTACATACTAATTTAATTATCGTTATAATAATCACTGACAAATATACATATATTATGCGAAATCCCGCATCACATCCGGGCGGTTTACATTAAAGCAAGATGCAACGACATCAATAGTATTTTGTTGGCTACATACCGACTAATTTAAAACTGTATTTTTATATTTGCACATGGTTAGAAATGTAATGGTGTTAACAAATATATTTTCGTTTTAATGAAACATTATGAGGCACGTAATATTTTTTAAACGTTTCAATTAGTCGTAATTACTTACGAGAAAAAGAGAGAATAACAATAGTAACAGTAATAACCAATTCGATTTGCAAAACCTAAAAACATCGCAGGCCTATAGTTTATAATATAAAAGCGATGATGGAGTAAACGGTATACAACGAATCGAACACCATGCACACGACAGTAGTTGAAAAACTAACGATACGCAAACGTTGAACTGCGACCGCAGTACAGCAGCCGCCAACTATTTAGTTCCGTTTCAGACTCGTTTTTATATACCAGTGTATGTGTTCGGAACTACAACGTTCTGTGCGTTGGCTTTCGCTTAAGGATTTTTCTGACGAAAAATGATGTAACCAGTGCTCGACTTGGTAAAATTAAAGAAGAGTGACTCTATTTACTTTTAAAAAAAAGAACGTCCCCAAAACTGGCTGAGCGTTATAATAGTAGAGGGACGCTAACATTTCTGAAAATTAATTTGGGTGCTCCATCCCCCTGCGTCTCCCCTCAAGTTAAGCACTGAATGTAACGAAACGAAGCTCATTAGCCCATTATCGAGCCCATAAACTGTGGACGGAAAACGATGATTATTTTTTAACGGGTTACTAATACCATGCATTTGTGCAAGTCGGGCGGAATATTGTTTGAAAATCGCGCACTGGAAAGCCATTGTAGCGTGTACAACGCGGCGCGCGCGTACTACCTACTACGTGTACTCTCTCGCGAATGAACTGCGAGTCGGTGGAGAGGAAGAAAATAAAACCCGTGATCTCATTAAACAATGTTTTGCAAAAAGCCGCGGAAAATTGCGTGAACCACCCCGTATGCTCTCGTAAAGTCAATTGTATAATCGTACGCAGACATATTGCGTAGATTGCAATTTGCATTGCGCACGCATTTACGACACACGCCGACTTGAACGTGCCCAAAAATCACTGTTACAACGGACACTATTACCAAGACCGTTGTGTGGTTGGTGCCGGGACAAAACGAATTTCGAGATTCGCAATGCGGCGCGACGGTTGGCGTTCGTCGACTGTTCAAGAGAAATTTCCTTCGGGGAAAACCGCGCTCGAGAACCGGTCGTGTTCGCGCGTACACACATTGGCACGCGTTAAAATCGAATGAAAAAAAAAGAAAAAATAGCAAATGACTTACGTGCCGTCGTGTCCGTCGGCAGAAACGCTGCGAGCGAGCACAGTGTCAACAGCAGAAACGCCATCTTCGCCTTTGAGCTCCTATCGCCGTCGGTGCAGCTCCTCGTCGCGTGCTCGCGGAAAATACGAAAATCTCTCTTCGCCGTCTCTCCCGCGCACACTGCTGTCTGTTTAATCCTCGGACCAAGCGTTCTCGGCAATTGGCGTCCCGGTGGCAATCGTCGGCAACCGCATAATAATGTTATGGGTGCGCGCGTGAACACCGATCAGCGTGGTCGGTTAGGCGACGTATCCCAACGGTTGGCGCTGGTTTGCGGGTAACCGGCGAAGAATAATGTTTCCGGACGAAAATCTCCCCGGCGGACGGTACGACGGCAGACGACCGTGTGACGTGTCCCGGTGCCAGAGCGTGCCCGGCGAACGTGTGGGAGGGAAAAAATTGTTTTTCTATAAAGTATCCTGCGCGCGCGGACGGACGGACGGCGACGGACGTGCGTCGCAAACGGACCGTGTTGACGAACTGTGCGTGTGTTCGCGGTGGACCCGGAGGTATAGTGCCGGGTCTGAGCGATTGTGCGGTGCGCGTGCGACCCGGGAGAAAGCCGAACGCGCTTGTGCCGCCGAAGACGCGAACCGGGCGGCGGCGGCAGTGAAAGTATATATAAATGTTATTATTGTGACGGAGGCGACGACGATGACGGTTTTTTTTTATTTTTTTTTTTTTTTTTGTTTTTTCTTTGGCCAAAACAAGGTCGCCACCGCCGCCGACCCGCGCGAACCAAATAACGACGTACAGCGCGCTACGGTACGGAGATTTATCATTTTGTTGTTTCGCTATCGTGTAATATGTGGAATAATTATTGATTATTGTTACTCACCGCGGACGACGGCGGACCGCACGACTGTTCGTGTCGTGTTTTAAAAATATTATGACTCGCGACTAACGACGTGACGCCGTTTCGGTTCGGCGCGAGGAGGTTAACGCGGGCAAAGTGTTTTTCGCCGGTCACGTCGAAAGAATCCGACCGAAAATCCAAATCCGACGATTCGTTAACATTCCGTTTTCATTGAAGATACCCGCAACAGGCATAACAAACATCACGATTGACAGATATCATGATAGATGAATAAATCGTGGTGCGAACAAAATCAAATTTCTTCGGAGACCGTTGAATATAATAAGTTACAACACTTGGAATCCGTTGGCTTGCAAGTGCAGCATAGCACGGTCGGTCACGCGCCAAACGGGGCCACTGTACGTTTACGTCGTATCATGTGCAATACAACGTACAATTCAGACAGTAGTAATTCTCGACTGGAAGAGTCGATGATGAGTTTCCACATAAAATATACTATTTAAGCTTAGAGCTGGACAAGTTGATAATTTATTTTTTTCTACTGATTTAAGGCCATTTACTTTGATAGGAAAACTATAAAAGTTAGAATAAAGATTAAAATCGATCTTATTGACAATCTAAATTAGACTTAAATGTCTAACTTAGATGATTCAGAAGAAGTAAGTTGATCAACATAATGACTCAAGTTTAAATAAAAGTTTGAATTGATTTAAAATCTTGATTGAAGCGAAGAAGCTTATAGTTTTACGATGACATTTATTTAATCCTCTAATAAACACGTTTTCGGGTAATAGTTCAAAAGATTCAAAATCGCCAAATCATAGTATTTTAGAGAAGTAATCTTTCAAAATTCTTACCAGTTTTACTAATATTTGATCACAGTTTTTTTTATTTCCATAAAATAAATTAATTTTAACTTTCGTTTTTTAACTCCTCGTTATATTAGTCAGTTTTATGAGTTCAACACAACTAGTTTAGTTGTGGTAAAAATAACTTTCAGACTTAACTTGAATTTTCTTACTAACTTAATGCCCACTTTGGATTAAACTTAAATTAACAAACCGAATAAGATCAACAGAGGACGACTATAACAATACTCACTCTATCCAATATCTCATTAAATAATAAAATTACTAACCATCTGGAGATGATAGATGGTTTACATAAAACTTTTCCATTTTCAACTTACAGGATTCAATTGATTATCGAACAATATTCTTCGTATGCTTATGCCTGAAGAGACAAAAATTTACAAATACTCAAGTGTATTGTAATTAGGACCCAAATTTATATTAATTTGCATGGTTTTTTTAACAGTCCAAAAAATATTTAAATATGCTACAAGTTTTATTCGTAGTAAACAGATCCAAAGTACAAAGTTTTATTTTACATATTTTTATCTATTTTGTTATTTTTTATGTGTATATAATCTATATTTTACGATTTTTCAATGCATATAGATGGCTTTTTAATGCATAATTTTGCATGTTATGTAATCTTTTATTGTGTACTACATATTTCTAGATTTTAGTAATATTTTACTATTCTTCATTGCATTATAGTCGAATACCTAAGTATTTCATATAAATTAGTTTTACTATTTTATTGGTTAGTTCTACCCACACACAACTACAGTTCGTACGGAATTTTTTTTTTATATTATCTATGATATCTAATCACTTCTAGAAAAATATAATTCAGTCGGGACTAGGTATGGTAGTCTTGTACATTGAATAGATTTTCGTAAACTATATTTTAGTCGTGTTTTACGATAGTGTGTATTCGTGTTTCTTATTAATATATCAAAAGTACAATTGTCTATTCGTACATATATTGCGGAATCCGGAGCGTATATTTTTGCATTTAATGGTGTTATTATTTTTTGTAAAGTATATGAAATTAAAGTCAGCAGTGTAAAGCATTTTTATTTAAAAATCTATCCAAGTCTTTAGTAGTCAATAGTAACCATCCAGATAACTTTTAAATGCTATAATAATTTATTGAATTTGTTTGAATTGATTTTCGTTCATATATTTTTATTTAGATAAGTAAATGTTCAAAATATTTCAAAATTCAACATAGAATTCTATAAAACATATAAATCACAGTTCAATTATTTCAACTATTTATTTATTACATTTTTTTGTTCTATATCAATTATTTAATTAATTATATACATTTTGAAACTAAACGAACTTAATTAAAATGCATTTTTATTTGCATATTTTTACATATTTTAAATGTATTTTTAATGATTATTAGTAGATAAATGCATGCATATTTCGAACGTTTAAGTGCATATAATACGGGGCCCTATTCATCGCTATACAATTACATAGATAATTGATTAAGTAAATAATGAATCTATTATTTTTGATAAAGGAACTAAATCTCTTATATACCGAAAAAACCATTTTTTATAAATCATGAAAAATTTTTAAAAAAATGAATAAACATTTTGGATAAAGGATTTTATTGAAGAAATGTGGAAAAACTAAAGTAACAATTTCGCAAGTAGAGCACGGAATAATTCATGATAATAATATATTTTTGACATTATTATTTCAGATTATTCAAACCAAGTTGTAAATTATAAAATAATATAGTATAAAAGATAATTACTAAGCATTATTTTACCGCCCATCAATATTATTTGTTCACAAATGCGATTGAAAAAAACTATTTGGTTACATAAAACAGGTGGCTGCTCACAATTTATAAATAAAATATTATTGCGCGAAGTGACGATATTGGCGGATACGATCCGATTCTTGTAATGGTGAAGTTACTTCGTACATTTTATAATTTATGAGAAACGATCTAGCAGTGTTGTTAACCTTTACGGATTCGATGAAAACAAAGTCAAGTACCTATGTAATTGATTTATTTTTCAAAACGCCATAATATAATGCCTTATATCATTTTGACTGTAATCTAATAGTGATTAAAAAACCAATGGAATTATTGACGTTTAATAACATTTTATAAAATGTAATTTGATACATTTTAATATTATAATTATTTCATAGTTAAAATATGATTAAAAATTATTAAATTTTGTTCAATTTATACACCATAATGTATTTATATTTGTATAAACATAGTATTAAATGTTACATTGGATACGTGTGATTATTATCCTGATTAAATGCTGAAAAAACAACAAATTTCTTAAATATATGAAAAAATATACGGGGTATTGATTTAGAGTAGGGTAGAACAATAATTGAAGTTTCATACTAAAATTCATATGCGCTTCTGTATCACGGGATTAATTTATTTACTAATGTTACTTGAGAGGAAATATAAAATGAATCTTATACGTGTAATCATGCATATAGGTGTTACCTAAGCATAGATTTATATAGTATTTAGTCAAGGTTAATAAAATTGTTCGATTTCGGAAAAAAAATATGTAAAATCTAGTGAAAGCTTTTTATTAGATATAATAATATCCAGTGTTTTTTAATGGATTGCCTACGATGTACACGTTCTGATTATTCTTTAACTATGTCCTTTATTGTAATATTTTAATATTACCTTTGTTTTATTACTTACGGTTCGGAACGATTTCAATTTAGCTTTATACGTTGAATGTCAATAATAGTTGTAATAACAAAATTATTTAATACCACCAAGGCCATGGCCCCACCCAATTATATTCTTAATTATATAATGTATCAAATCAAATTTCAGCTAGATAAAATACAATATATATATATATATTATAAATCAAGGTTTTAACTTAACCCCAAGTATTAAAAAACTCAAAATAAATCTAATTATAAACGTTACCAGTAAAGGTAATAATTAAGGAAGGGGGGACTTGTCTCCTGGCATTTCATTGTGAAGAATATGTTTATAATTTTGTCTCTAACCTAAAAATCTGCTGCAAACATTTTAAAGCTTTTGAAATACTAAACAAATAAAATAAAACCATAAGTGTAATATTTTTTCAGATTTACCATAATAGTATTCTAAATTGGTTCTCTCTTATTATAATACTCAGTTATAGGTACCCACTAAACGTAACTCATGTGTGCACATACGTACATAATCTTATTTTTTTCAAAATAATTCTTAATTTTTTTCTACTAATTTTTCTTCCATATTATTTCTGTGGAAAAGTATTAAAGCATAACTCGAATACATAGTGAAATAAAAATTTAAATAACATTTTAAATACATTTTTCAAACATAAATTCATTATTCATTCCAGCATTTTTTTAAATTAAATCCTACTCTTTAGTCTCAGCATTTTCTCAGTAATTGCATTACACTTTGAAGATAACTTAAATTCATAATTTCCCTGGCTAATGACTTTAAAAATGTAAGGAATTTTTCCAATTTGTTATACTAACTAATTTTGACGTTGATTTCTCTATTTTAATAGCATACTCGTTATTTGTAAATTATAGTTTATTATAATATCATATATATCGTACAATAGTAATAACCTCCTCAAGTATGATTATAAATTGCTGGTATACATATTTAGTCGTTGATCTATGATATAATCATCATTAATTTTATATTATTTTATCATTTTTTTCACAGTTTACTGTCAACTCGAATTAACAATATAATTAATAGTTTTATTTAGACACTGAAGTTAATAATAATAACAATAATAATAATAATTTTTTTTCTACTAGTTTGATTTAAACTCACTAAGTACCAAAATCATTAAAATAAATAAATTGTCACTATTTGTGAAGGTACTGTTATCGTATTCATT